TAAATAACTAAAAGAGAATTCAAGGAACATGCTGGATATAGTTTACAAAAGCAAGGCGGCAGTGTGGCTGGACACAATCAGCAAGGAGTCAATTTGTAGAGTGAGAAGTGAAGGCACATGGGAACAATATCTGCCAAGAAGATTGGCTAATATTCTCACTGTGATAAAAAGTCTTTGCAAGGGTTTCGAGCTGAGAAGAAAATAATAGTAGCACAATTTTTTAAAAGGATAATTCCAATGACTGTGAAGAATAAGTTACAGGGTAACAAGAATAGAAATTTGAAGAGTTGGGAGGTTCTTGCTGTGGTCCGAATGGTAGTGGCTTAGCAGTGTACATGGTGATACATGATCAGATTCAGGCCACATTTCAAGAATAAAGCTAGAGGAAAATTCTTGATGATACTGAGATATACAATGTGATAAAAAGAATGGATTTAAGAATGATTATAAGATTTTTAGGCTGAGCAATAGGTACCATTTATTGACATGGGGAAGCTGGGAGAGCAGAGCCCCAAATGGAAATGGGCTTTAAAAATATTTCATTGACATTTTTCTTTGGTACCCTGGCTTATTTCACTTAACATATTATCCTCCAGATTCACACATATTATTGGAAATTGACAAAAATTTCTTATTTTTATGGCTAAATAGTATTCCATCGTGTGAACATATATCACATTTTCTTTACCTATTCATTCCATTAATGAATACGTACATTGATTCCATATCTTGTCTACTGTGGATAGACAAGAGAGGGCAAATATCTCTTTGGTAAACTAATTTCATGATAATCATGTGAGGTAATAATTATTTTAATTAGCTATATTTAATCATTATACTATATGTACATATCCTTCATAACAGCATGTTGTACATGATAAATGCATATAATTTTATTAGCTGATGTGGAATAAATAAGTAAATAAATTTAAAAAATAAATAAAGACATTGATTTTGAAAATGGTGAGTGTTCATTCATTAGAAATACAAATGGAGATGTTAGTCAATCAGTTGGATATACATACTTTTTGAGTTAAAAAGGTATAAATTTGGATTTCTAATTATAGAAAGCATTGAAGCCAAGGGTATAGATGAGAGCAAGGAAATTATAGATAAAAAGAGGAGAACATAGCTCTGAACCCTGGGGTATTTCAATAATTTGAGATCATGAAAATGAGATAAATCTAGCAAATTATGATAAAAAGCAGGAAAACTGTGAGGTAGCAAGAAAATCAGAGTAATGTGCTAAATCTGAATCCAAATGAAGAAAGGATTTCAAAAAATAGGGTAATAATCCATGTCAAATAATGCTGCTACTCAGATTGGATTACCACTTAGTGACTACCGATTTAGTGCTTTAGTTTTGTTGTTAGGATTACTGAAAGGATTTAATAAAAGGAAAAAAAAATAAAAAGAGAGATATTTAATCTTACTCTTTTTAATGTGAGGATGCAATTTTCTCAAACGTGTGTAAATTACCATGTAAAATACTATGTATGAGGCAGTTTGAGATGGCCCTTAGGAGATTAAGGGCCTTGAGAGATAAGATTTTTAGCACATAGTTATGGTAGATACATAAGCAAAGGGACAGGAAATAACGAACAGTTTGTGTGAAATAGAATATAGTATATGGTGGTTGTGATAGATTGTCTATAAAGATAGCTATAAATAATTCCTTCCATCTACATGCAGCTCTGCCCATGGAGAGATGGAATCTATTACTCCTCCCCAAACTTGCTTTGCTAGCCTTGTGATTTTGTTTAAGCAATGAAATGTCTTCATTTCCTTAGAGTTATAAGTTATCCTATAAAAGAGTTTGACCACTACAGAAAGATGACACATTGGTATGCTGTGAAGGGATATAAGATTACAAGAAAATAGGCAGAGAGTCTCCACTTTTAGTCACCCCATACCAATAACCAATGCACATAGTAAAGTCATCTTAGATTCTCCCATCCCAGCTAAGCTTTCCTAGCTAATGTAAAAAGAAAAATCAAGCCAAATCTGAGGAGCCTTGCTTAATTCCTTACCCAAAGAATAATGAGCAGTAAAATGGTTGACTTAAGCTATTAACTTCTGAATGGTTTGCTATGCAAAAGGAGATAACTGATCCAGTGTTTGATTATGAATTATATAAAAATATCAACTGGATCATGATGAGCTTTGAATATATCCTTCATGAAAAATGAGAGAGAACTATTTAAGGGAACTACCCTATACTTGTATCTTCAATTTGTTGTCAACTATAGTCAGGCCTAATTAGTACAATGGCATTAAAAATAGTGGACAAAAAGTTTGGATAATTGAGAATTAAAGAAAATCACCACATAGCGTGGAAAAAAATAAAACGAAACTTTTGGTATCTATAAAGTGTTTTAGGTCTCTCTGATAAAATAAACTCACTTTATTATTGTCAAAACAGTATTGCTATGTTTATATAAACTAAAAAGCTATTGAAGGTGATTGCCTTTATAGATAATATAAAAATGAGATTTTCATGAAAATTTCAGAATATATAAAGAAAACCTTTTTCATAATAAGCAGATTTTATTGAATTGTATTTTTAAATGTCATCCTTCAAGTTGAGGATTTCTCTTATTTTCACTCTTCTTTATAAAAAATAGCTCTTCTCCCAAACTGAAAATAATATTGTTTACTTTCACAGTATATTGGACTGATATCCAGACCTAGCTCCTGAAAATATATTATTTCCTACAATTGTACAACTCTTAAACCTGGAATTTTTGTGTTATTAAGTCATGCATCCTATGGAACAGCAAGATTAAACATAATCACAGCTTAGATTTTTATTTTGTATGGAACCTATTAACACGCTATCTCAAAAAACTTTTTAAAAAAATAATATGAACACTTACATTGAAGTGATCATCTAACCAGAGGGAATAAATCAATGAGAAATGATGAAACATAATATTTCATCTTTCCCCCAGACCCATCATTCCCAACAAATTCTGACAATTGTATTTTTATTTTGAACAAACAACTCAGTCTTCAGATAGCCTACAACTCAACTGAATAAGAATGGAAGTTACTTTAGTACAATTGTAAAAATCAATCTGATCCTTCTGGCAAAGAAGGAACAACTGACTCACTTTGGTGAAGTGTATTAAACTAGGCCAACATTTAATAAATTGCCATTTTCACTAAGGAAATGGCAACTGAATGATGTTAGGATCTATGAAAACGTGGTATCTTCAAGGAGAACAAAATTAGGAGGGCGATTTTTCTTTGATCATGTGTAAATGGGCTGAGAGCTGGGGAAATGTGGGACATTTGGGGGTATAAGAAAGAGCTGAAGTGCTCTATCCCCTACTGTCACATCTTTTATTTTCCAGAACAAGGATACTTCATGTAGAATACCTAGTATAATTGATGGATATAGTTTATTTCAGCACTTGCCTATCGGCTAGTTAAGTGTTTATTGGCCAGATATCTGCACTTTTCTAGAGTCAAAGCCACAGGCAAACAGCCTCTAACAATCCACTGATATTTTCCATGATGAATGACTTTGTCCTTGCCATGCAGAGGATGTCTAAATGGAAACTCTGTTCTAGTACCAATTGCTATTGTATATACATCTGAGTCAACAGTGAAAATGTGTGTTTCTATTATCAACATTTGGCATCAGATGCTAACAAGAACATTGCAGCATGGGTTGCTTAAAGTTGACAACAATGCTCATAATTCACATCCCTGGTAGTCATGTGTCCTGAGTAAAGTGTGTTCTCTTTTTTATAATCTAAGATGATACAACCTGCCCATCATGCATGTTAGATAACAAATTTATTATGCCAAAATTATCAGCTCACAAAATGAGCATATTTTAGTGATATGTAACACTATTGATTGGATATTTGCCTTTTGTGAATAGCTTATCTACTGGCAAGGAGGGAGGGAGAGAGGAGAGAGAATGAAATATGTAATTATGTGGCATCTATGTCCTAAAAACTATGGTAAACTGTTAATCTGTTAATGTTATTTTCCTTAATCCCAACAAGGACTTTTTAGGTAGAAGTAATCCTCCTATTTCCTTTCTGATGTAAAACCTGATGATGGTGAATGACAGCTCATCTAAATAAAAAAAATCCATGTTATTTTTCAGTGCCACACTGCCTATTTACTTTTTTGCAGTACCTTTTCTCAGCTCCCTACCACTGTTCTGCCTTCCTCCTAAGGTCACAATGACCTTGAAATTGAGAACATATCTCACTGCATTTTTTGTCATTTTAGAGCACCATGACCCTGGTTTCTTACACTAATCTTTCTCTATGGATTTTCACAGGGGTTGTTATATCCTGAAAGCATATGATGATGTTTATTTTCAACCCCTTTGTAATATTATCATTTGGCTAGTCTTTAGTTGCTTTTCTCTTAGACTTCACTCTTTCTCTTTTCTCTATCATATTTAAGTCTAATTTTATCATTGATCCTTCAAATTGATATCATGTATTATCTCAACAGAGTCATTGACACACTACATATAACTACCTTGAGATTTACATCGGATTTGACCAATTGGTAGTCATTACCCTAAGATACCCAAATGACAATGATGTTTGAAAAGTATCTTCTATATGAGTTATTATTATTCTTCATTAACTTTCTATGATTCCAAAATGCTGGAGCTTTGCTATCTAATGCAGTAGCCCCTAAGCACATAGGCTACTGAACACTTGCAATGTGGTTAATCAAATTGAGATACACTTTAAATGTAAAATACTCAATGGAGTTCAAAGACTTCTAAAAGATAAAGAAGAATGTAAAATATCTCATTTATATTTTCATATCAATCATATATTGAAATTATATTTTATAATTAATTTAAAATTAATTATATTTTATATTTAATGAAATATATTATTAAATTGATTTTATCTATTTATTTTATCTTTTGAATATGGCCACTAAAATTTAACTTACACTTGTAGTTTTTAGTTGTAGCCCACGTTAAATTTCAATAGTTTCATATCAAGATTTACCTTAAATCATGAAGGTACAGGAGGTGCAGGTGGTAGCAGATGCAAGAAGAATACATGGGCTGAAGGGAGAGGAAAATTATTTGGAGCTTCTTTACTATTAGAAACTTCTGGTAAGTGCTAGAAGAGTTAACAATAACTTTTCATGTAGCACACTAGAAACATGTAAAACTGCTGATAATTGCAAACATTTATATCTATTTCCTTGAGACTATAATTCTGGAGGCAGGGGAGAGGAAATTTCTTATCAAGTTAGCACCTGGCGTGTACTAGTTTCTCAATAAATATACAGTTCACTGAATTGAATGGAATCATAAAATAATGGAACATTTGCAAATCCATGAGATGAGATTTGAATAATAAGAGATCAAACATGGCAAAAGAAAAATCTCTTTCTTCCCCTAATCTTGCTCCTCTCAGTAATGGCACTACTATCCTCCCACCTGTCCAAGCCCAAAATAAAATATACTTGGATCGCTCCATTTCAGCCCCCACCCACATCTGACCTATCATTAAGTTTGTGGATTGTCACTCCACATCAGCAGTCCATCCACTTTTCCCTATCTTCTACTAACTTATAGTTCAAGGAACTGTTCTTTCCAGTATAAACCTCTGTCCTCATGAGTCTCTCTATTTCCATGCCTTGTCCTCTTAAATTTATTCTCCACAGAGAAGCCAGAGTTAATTTTTAAAAGTGGCAAATATCACTTTTTGTATATACCTAAACCACTCCTATGGCTTGACATTGAATTTGAATTAAAATCCAAACTATTTTTGCCAGTTGTCAAGGCACCCCAAGTCCTAATGTCTGCCTAATTCTCCATGCTCAGGTCCTATCATTGTCCATCTTGCTCACTGTGGTCCAGCCACAATAGGCTCTCTGTTTCTTTGACATTCTCTGTGTATCCCTGACTAGGGCCTTTGCTTTGCTGCTGTCTCTGCCCCACAGATCTTTCTATGGCGGATATCTCAGTTCAACAGGCATTTCCTCAAAGAGGATATCTTACAAATTAATATGCACCTCAGCTGGACACTTCATCATCATTTCTTATTTTCTTTTTATAAGTTATTCATATATTAAATTATGTTCATCACTTAGTTATTTTTTTAGTATGTGTCTCTCTTCCAGTAAATTGCAATCCCTGTTAAAGTATGGATATAGTTTATCTTGTTTCCTCTACATTCTCAGCAACTTCAGTGGTTCTACCTATTTAAGGTAGTGCAGAAAGGCCAAATGAAATGGCCTCAATTTTTACTAAATTTCACTCATTTCAGAAATGAAATTTAGTAAAAATTGAGTAAAAATTTAGTTCAGAAATGAAATTTTCAATGAGCCACTGTATGCTACTTGATTTATTTTCTGTTTATATGATGTTGTAAGAAATTATATGTTTTAGATGCTAATGGTGAATACCACAAAGAGGTAGGGATTAAGTGTATATAACAACAATTTGTAGATTATTTATGATAAAGTTCTGTCCCTTGAAACTATAACCAGTTCTATCAAAATAATAAACAATTTAGAACCTAAATCTATTGCTCCCAAAGATCTCTTGGACTAATCTCATGAGTGAAATGATACTGTATAATTATTCAGAGTGGATATTGACTGATATGTTGTAATTTTAAGAGTATCTAAGCAGACTACCCTATCAAAATACTTGGTCCTTCACGAACTGACAGAAGCCTACCATTAGATATTAAACTCTTATATCTTTGGCAGTAATGTTGGTAAATATTGTCTGATATGGAAACATACTAAGTTTAGATACAATATTAATATAGTAAGATTTGATGAAGAGCACCAGGCTAGCTAGCTGAGAAGGACACAAAAAGAATGAGAATTTAGCAAGCGATTGGAGGTGATTTGATGGTATTGCTGTTTAGCTTGTTGGTATGGTGATTAAAAAATACAGTGGCAGCATGAAGTTGTCCAGAAGCTGGTCAGAGGAATCACCTCAATGATGAACAGAGCAGAAGGGGAGGAAAATTAAAATATCCAAAATAAATGCTTGGTTATTCTAAGGAGAGCTAAATAAGATAACCTTTGCACCAAAAGAGAGAGTACATAAATATCTTTTAACATTAAAAGTAAACACATTAATGATGCTTATCCTTGTCAACTACATATACTTATAGAAATTCATAGTTCACAAAATATTCTAAACTGCATTATAATTATCTCATTGGAGACATAATATTTTGTCAAATAGGTAGGGAAATAATACTATATTCTTGTTTTAGAGTAAAAATTTAGTTCCCTAGATATTAGACAACTGACCCAATTTACACAATGACTCTAAACTCTTCATTTGTTGTGCTACTCATTCAATATCCTACAAGAGTAAAAATCACTGAAGAGCATATACTGAAGTACTTAGTCACACTCAAGACCCTCACATTGCTAGCTATTCCACATAAAGTCAGCTTATCTTTTCCTCTAGGAATTTCTTTCCTACATACTAAGATGTTTGCAGGTAATTAAGATCTCCCTGTAAGAAGCCTGTTTGCATATGACGTTTTGGTTGAGACATCTGCAGTTGTTAGAGATCACTGAAAGCTTATCCATATTTCATGTGAAGAAGTGATATACCTCTCATATACGAGTAACACAATTACTTCTTTCAAGCAGGACACAAACAGAACTAGCAGAACACAGTAGTAGCTAGGTCCATAGTAGCAGTCCTCACTGGTTGCCTTCTCTTACTCATCACACTCTACTCCACCATCAGTCTCTGAACCTAGCAAAGAACCTACTTTTGCATTACTATTTTGTCTCAGGGTCTGCTTCAGAGGCCATATAAACTAAGGTATATAAGGTTACTTATAGATGGAAAATGAACATTGGCTCTGTTCTCATAATGCTCAAACTTATCTAAAAGGAGATAATTTATCAGATAATGACTGTGAAACACAATCTATTAATGTTGAGGTACATCAGTGTTTTATTTAATTTAGGTACACAAGAACCTGTTGAGATAGATAGCATTGTCATTGCAAATATGAGGTGGTGAAGGACAAAGAGGCTCATAATTTTCCAAAATTGTACAGCCATAGGTATCAAAGCCACAATTCAAACTCAAGGGGACCCATCTCAAAAGATCTAAATCAAGAGACTTTGTACTTGCATCACAGGTAGTATTAGAAAGAGAACAAATAGTAATTATCACTCGAGAACTTCATAAGCCAAAAAACAGATGCTATTTGGATTGATGTAGAAGAATATGGAGTATTTTTATCTTGAAATAGAAATAAAGAAAGATGTATAAAACATGAGAAAATTCATGGAAAGTTAAAATGATTTAAACATTTGGTGAAAGGAGCCAGTCCAGGATATTAGGAGTTTAGTCAGAGGGGTTGATTTCTTCTGAGTTTTTGTGCTTGGCTTATAGATGGTTGTCTTCCCCTCCTGACTTCATATGGTCTTTCTGCTATTTGTGTCTGTGTCCTAATCTTGTCATTTATGCGCACCAGTCATATTGAATTAGGACCCACTCTAATTACTTTATTTAATCTTATCTACCTCTGTAAAGACCTTTCTCCTATATAGTGGCATTGTGAAGTCCTGGAGATTGTGATGTCTGTATAAATTTGGAGGGGCACATGTCAGCCTATAACTAGGTTATAATGAAAAGATCTTTTACTACATCAGAACATTCTCTAATCTTAATAAATAAATAATAAAGGCAGAAAAGCAAGATCATTAGCTGACCACTCAGTATTTTTATTAGTTTCGTAGGCCTGCATCTTCTATAACTAGCAAAAAAAGAAAGGAAACTCTGGTTCAATTGAAGAGAATAAGAATAGTTCTAAATAATGACTCTTGTCTTTCATATTGGTGTTTACTATCTCTACTTAGGTAACTAGTTCTGAAGAATAATATTATTAAGTAGATACACTATAAAAATATAGATGAGAAATCCCAAGTGCCCATCAATTCATGAGTGGATTAATAAAATGTGATATATGTATACCATGGAGTACTACTCAGCTTTAAGAAACAACAGTGATATAGCACCTCTTGTATACTCCTGGATAGAGCTGGAACCAATTCTACTAAGAGAAGTATCTCAAGAATGGAAAACCAGCACCACATGTACTCACCAGCAAATTGGTATTAATGGATCAACACCTAAGTGGACATACAGGAGTAACATTTATTGGGTGTTGGGAGGGTGGGAGCGGGGAGGAGGGGATGAGTATATACAACCACAATGAGTAAGATGTGCAACATTTGTGTGATGGACACTCTTGAAGCTCTTATTCGAGGGGGGAGAGGGGCATGGGCAATATATGTAACCTTAACACTTGTACCCCCACAATACACTAAAATAAAAAATAAATAAAAAAATAAAATATAGTTGAGAAATCAATACCTATAATATCAATTTAAAAAAATTAAATACCATGAAAGGAATCATCTTTTGAAGATAGCTCATTTGTTGACTAACTAACCCCCAACCCCACAGACACACACAAACAAATTTCATCTGAGAGACTTTCATTTTCTTGTAAAAAAAAGTGAAAGCATCATATGCTTTGGTATTTTGCCATCTCACAGGCATTATAGTTATCAACTGATTATTGTTTTAACACCATTTTATTATTATTTTTATTATAATTATAACTTATCACCTAAATTTAAGTCATCTATTATAATTTATTATTAAGAGTTGCATATCAAGTATGTAAATGCATTATGACTGCTATATTTGGTTATGATATATGTATTAACTGATATGATAAATGTGTTTTATACAATAAATATATATTATATGAATAAACATACATAAGGGTTTAAAAACAAGAGATATATCAGCTTGAAATCAGTAAATTCAGCTAATTTAAGATTTTCTTTTTTCTTAAAGAGCCAAGAATATAATAGATTATGCTTCAGATTTTGCCATTTGTTTGGTTTGCATCTTCTGGGAAAAGAAAAAACTATAAAGAGTTAAAAACTAACCATAAAATTAAGATGCAACAAGGACGTAGCCACAGTTAAACAATTCAAACATGGTAAGACGTTGATAAGGATGATTGCTTTATAAACCTTACAGTGTCA